TAAAAAATTTAAATATTAAAAAAATTAGTAAAAATCTTCGCAGGCAAATTTGCCTGCATTACAATTTAAGGGATACAAATATACAATTTTTGTATGTATCAATTCTGCGAATACATTACTGATAATCTGGCACTTATATTCTACTTTATATTATTTTACAGAAAAATAACATACCTTCTTTTCAAGGAATGCTGACCGAAGAACAGTTGAAAATGATATCTTTTTCCCACTGTTTAATGGGATATTTACATCTAATCATAATCTCGACCTGCCTATTATTGGCATACTTTTTAAGCATAGTAGTACATTTTTTATTCGACTAACGTGGGGTAAAGATCAACTTTATTGCAGTATTACAAAGGAATACTTAGAGTGCTTATTAGAAAGTGAGCATAATCTCATTGAAGAAACAAGAAATTGTACAGGGAAGCTTTTATCTTCTAAACTTGGTATTTTAAAAATCATTTTCGAATATATATTGTTTGGCAGAACCGAAGATTGTTGGATACTACCAGTATCCTTACAATACGATAAAATAGTTGAGACAGAAGCCTACGTTAATGAGTTGTTGGGTAATCCCAAAAAAAAAGAAACTTTATGGAGTGTTGTAACAAATAATAGGCTTATGCAATTGAAATAAGGTCGCATTGATGGTTTGAAATTCACTTTTATTATATCAAATAAGTTTGTTAACTTATAATGATATATGAACACATTTGTTTTATACCTTTTATAATAGTGCAATTTTCCAATCCCTTTTCACTACTATTATTCATTGAAGATCAAAAAAAGTGACAAAAGTAATTTTTTATATAAATTATTGATTTCTTAAAGCTTAGTAATTTTTTTTTCGTCTTCTTTTTCAAGTTATCATAATCCATTAATTGAAGCACAAAAGATTACTTTGTTGAGAGCGCTTGGTTACCGGTACGCTTTCTTGTTTTTAATTAAGCGAGATTTTCATTTTTATATGTTTATAAATTTCTTTTTATTTTACTTTAGGGTTTTATCAGATATTGTATATTTTTTTTTTTAAATTGAGTTTTCCAGTATACAACTGTTGCTGATTCTATTCGCTTGGATCACATTTTTACTGATCTTCACAAATAATTATATGGCTGTATTTTGATAGAATTCTGTTTTAGTTGTAATTCCTACTGCTCTTGGTAATTAACTTTTATTGTGACTATATTGCAGTATTGGATGTTTACGGTTTATTTATAATGAACCATATTTATGTTATATAACCATCTTTCGTGCAAAGTTAGAACTGCAGTACTGATACTCCATAGTAAAGTAAGTTGTAATTATTTTGATATAATTTATATCAAACCTGCGTAAAATGGATATTCATTTATTTAAATGATAATTGCAGGGTGTTTTAAGAAATGAATTAATAAGATGTATAGATTGATTAAAAGCTGCAATTTTGGCCTGTTTAAGATTTTTATGATATGAGTATGGCAGAAATTGTCGATCAGTGAGTTATATTGTTAATTAATTTTACTAAACTGCATTGTCCTTTAATTATAGTGTAATTGTTGTATTAAAAGATTTTATTATAGAAAAGATAAAAATTGTATATTTTATATATGCCAAATCTTTGGTTAAACAGTTTTATCGTTTTATTTATTTATTTTTTTTTTACCTTTATTTTTTATTAGTAAATTCATCAATATGAATTATATATTTTGATCAACTATAATATCGGTAGCCATATACACTAAAATAAAGCAAGGTGGTACCAAACCAGTACAATGTTTACCTTTTCAAAAGAAATAGAGTTCCTTTCTCAGTTGCTCAAGGGGGAATTTGTGTATAACCCTGGTAAAATTAAGAATAATAATGTAATTAATTATAATAATGAATATGTGTAATTATCTGATACTGAAAGAGCTATTGGAAGAGAAAATTATGGTAATAGAATTATAATATTTCATTCATTTTCTTTCACTTAGTACGTTTATCATTAATAGTAAATGTATATTCAACTTATAAACTTAGATTTTTACTGCTTTTTGATATGGCCCTTTGTCGAACATATTGGCTTGCTAGTAAGTAGGACATTGTTGCTGTGCTTCAAATACATTGTTTTAGCATTGCTTTAGCATTTCTAATCCTTATCCAAAATAGCCATAAGTCTGTTTTCTATGACTCTTAATCATTTTAATTTTATATTATTGTACAAAAGATTAACATGTCTTTTCTTCCAATGAATGCTGACTAAAGAATAGTTAAAAATAGTATCTTTTCTATTATTTAACGGAATATTTATATCCAATCACATAAAGCATATCTAGTAAATTTTTTTTTTTTTACAAATACATTAAATGGTTTGATTCTATAATAACAATTCTTCTGTATATAGGAGAGAATTCAGTTCTTTCAAGTAGTGATGCACATAATGAAAAATCCAACCTATATAAAAAAGCATGTATAAGCAGAAAAGTTGACATAAAGGTAATATTATTAAAAACGCCAAATAAATTTGAAGCAATCTTTGAAAAGATTGCAAATGAGTTAGAATCATTTGAAGTTTCTATTGCTTGTTGCAAAAAGTGATTTTTAGACAAAGTAAAATTAATAGTAATCATGAGAGATAGTATTAATCACCTATTAAAAGAGTATGACCATGTATCTAATAAAAACATTGAAAAATAAATATGGGATCTTTGCTAGAAAAATCACCCTTCGAGATTTTCTGATCGGGCAAATTCGGACAAACTTAGACCAGAATATCAGTTCTTATTTACATGTAATTCAGCCTTTACATTATTGATTCCATAGTTTATTTAATATACTATAGAATCAATAAAGTAAAGGCTGATTTACATGTAAATAAGAACCGATATTCTGGTCTAAGTTTGTCCGAATTTGCCCGATCGGAAAATCTCGAAGGGTGATTTTCCTAGCAAAGGTCCCATATAGTATAAATTTGTAAAGATTTGCAATCTTAGAAAATGTTGTGCCTGAAGTTGCAACTAGAGGTTGGAATCGAATTTAATTTTTAAATTTGAATTTTTTAAAATGAATTTGAATTAATTCAAATGAATTGTATAAATTCATATTAATTCATATAAAATTGTTATACATAATTATATATAAATATGCAAAATTATGCAAAATTATATAAACTCATGTATAATTATATACATGTATGTACATGCATATATATGCTTTCTATGCATGATTCTGCATAATCTTGCATAATCTTGCATAATCTCACATAAAAATATTTTATATGAATTTATATAAATTCATATAAATTCATATAGTTTATTCGAATTAATTCAAATTTATCTTTAGATCAAATTAATTCGAATATTCAATTAATTGAATATTCAATTCCAACCTCTAGTTGCAACTTTGGGTTCAATCTAGAATGGTTTATATAAACTCAAATTGGGTTTATTTAAGCCCAAAACTGACTTAAATGAACCTGGAGTGGGTTTATTTTAACCTAAAATAAACTCAAATGAACCTGAAATAAGTTCAAATAAATCTGAATTTAAATCTGAAATTAATTTAAATGAACCTGATAAAAAGGCCTATTTTGAAATTTTTAGAAAAATGAGTTTTTAATAGATTCAAATAAATGTTAACTTGATTAATATTTTTTAATTATAAATGAAAGTTAATTTGCATAATAAAAAATGGAGATAATATAAAAAAAAATTACACAAAGCTACTTAAGGCCAAGTATATTATGAGATTATCTAATAGTAATCTGCTATCTTTAACTAATTAAAATTGTGAAACTTGCTCAATTTCAGATCAGACTGAAAATTAAACCAAATAATTAAACTCAATTATCTCAAAATAATGTATACTGTATGCTCAAATCAGATTTTTTAATATAAAACACTCTATATATATACAAATATATACATATATTTTAGTATATTTAATTTAATCTACACAGATTAAAATAAGGCAAATCAGGTTCAAATTGGCATTACAAATCCTAATATAAAACTAATTTGAAACAGATATTTGGCACAAATATAAAATCTATAGAATACAATTCAGATTAATATCAATATACAAAACATATTAGCAAAACGATAGTGCAATAGGTAAATCGATAAAGCTATAAAATAAGCTTTATCAATTTATCTATTAAGCTATTGTTTTTTTTTTTTTTTTTTTTTTTGGTATTAAGGTGACCTCTTTGGTCTGGGAACTTTTTATTAGAGTATAGACGAAG